TGGTGCCTAGGCAACCTTTCAATGAAACGATAAATATCAAGTGGTTTGAATTACTCAAAGCTACTTTTCGTTTAGGTGCAGGTGGACTTCTGCATGAGTACCGTCTCGAGTCAGGAATTGTTACATGTAAGTTCCGTTTCTTTCGACATGCAGCCTAACGTTGACACTGAGCTTTGCACATTCATTATCGGGGACGGGAATTGACCTATGCTGGCTTTTTGACTTTATGCCAAGCTTTTGCTTTCCTCGCCTAGTCAGAAACGCGTTGCCTCCAGCATCGATGTCACAAGACGGCCCCTTCGACATCTGGCCAGCAGTCTCCAATCTTTCCGTCGCTTTGCACAGCCAGGACCACGCTTCCCTCGCCATTCAGAGGGTTTCCGTCCCAGACGACAAAGTCGCCAAGGATAGTGGTCTCTTTCAGTACCTCTCCAGATCCGTTCGGAGCTCGAAAATTGCCATTCAACCCGAGTATCTCATCAAAGTTTGTCGAGACCAGCTTGATGGCTTCTTTGTCCGCCAGCCCAGCGAACTTTGCCACCCACTGCGCCTCCTGGGCCAAACCATGGATTTTGGAGTCGCCTCTGACGGCAAGGGCGACTAGAACACCAGCATCAATAAGTACTTGGGCAGGACTTGGTGAAAGAGGCGGGCCCGCAAGTGAGGATTTCTTCTCCCACCTATCGGGCGCACCCCTGTTTCCAGTCAGAATGACGGGGACCTGAGCTTCGTTGAGCTCCTTCGCGACCTAGGTGACAATTGCTTCAGCTTTTTGTTTTTCCAAAAAACAAACGATGCCTTACCAGAGGAGCTCCATGGCCGCCGAAGATGACAAACTTCACGGTGGGAAATTCTCGCTTCAGGAGAACAATCTGCGAAATATCATCCTGCGACAAGTTTACTCTTATTCAGTGTACTCTTCCAAATATTGGAGAAGAACCGACAAACCTCGTTCACTGTATATACAACGACTGGAAGAGAGCCATGCGCGGCGCGATAGTACACGCTACTTGGAGATTGGTCTTGGCCCTGTCCCTCAAGAAGGGTTTGACGCAGTCGCTCAACGCCGGAAGACACAGTCGGGGTATCATCGCCTGCACAAGGGTCAGTAAAAAATCAATTACTTTTCATAAGGAAAGTAAATCACCTTTGGCCTCTTGACCAATAGCAAAGTGAAGAGCCACTTCGTCCCGCCAAATCCCGCCTCCCAGAATCGTTGCGTTCTCACTTGTCCGCAAGCCGACACTTACACCCTGGAGAACACCGCCTCCAAAGATAGGAGCCGTGATCGCCCTTGTCACACCGCCGATTCTTGCTCTGCCGAAGCCCCTTCCACCGAAGTGGACACCATATTTGGCACTATGCAAGTGCTTCTGGGCATCGAGTGCATTCACCTTTGATCCTGGTGATCCGTCGCCTGTTGACGGCTCAGATGAAACGTCGAGAATACCAAGATTATTGCCGAAAGCAATCAGGCCAGGAGTGACGTATCCGTTGGATAGTTTAATCTCCACAGTCCCGTCATGCTGAAGGGTAGACCAACATCTGGACTCGACATCTAGACAAGTGATACGACCGTTAGAAACCACCAGGGCAAGATCTTGCCCCTGTTCGACGGCCAAGATAACCTCAGGGGGTTGATTTTCCAAAAGAAAGCTCTTAATGCCGGTGAAGAGAATATTTGCTCCCGGAGCCGTCGCTCGCTTACAAACATCTCGCTTTTCTGTCTGCAAAACATACGGGCGAGCCTCCGGCGCAACATTATCCGTTGATGAAACCTGGGCTTTCAATCGTTGAAGAGAGTCTTTGATGTCGAGAACCTCTCTGCCATCGACATACACTTGAACAGTTGTAGCACCAACAGAAAGAGGATGAGAATCCCAGACAACCAGGTCAGCATCATATCCAGGTATTACGAAGCCAATTCGATGGCCCTGATAGATGGACTGTGCAGCGACAGAGGTCACAGACTGTAGAGCTTTGTTTTCGGACAAGCCGAATGAGTGGGAAACAGCAGCTTGGTACATGAGATACTTGGCATGATTGCTTTCACCAGTGTGGTCCTACAACGAACACACGCCGAATTGTTAGTCAAAGACCATCAATGTAACACGGAAACGTTAGTTACTGACCGACTTCAAAACAACGCGGATGCCATGATCATCGAGAATCTTGGGGCCTCGAAGGTTTGCACCGTAGGCTTCATGCTTGAAGAGCGAGTTCTCGGCAAAGGTGGCAATGGTGATATTTCTGGTCAGTGTCAAGACGTCTTCCCGATCCCGCAGGGTGAGATGGTACTTACTCTTCCTGCTCCTTGAGAAACTCGGGAACCTGCCAAGCTTCAAGAGCATGATGGAAGGCCTGTGGATGAACCCCGAACTCATGGAGCACATCGAGCATCCGCTCAAAATCCTCAGGTTCATAGCAGTGAATGTTGACGTGAAACTCGCCTTTGAGGAGAGCTACCGTTGCTTCTAGTTCTAAGTCTTCCGGCCGCTCACCTACTTCGTCTACAAGTCGGGAGACTCGGCTTTGCTGCCATAAACCACCGGACTGGAGTTCTTGGGCAATTTGACACCAAGCTTCCTGCTTGGACTTGAGCTTCTGTGCCTTTTCCAAGTGCTGTCTCAAAAGCCAGACATTACCGAGCCGGGTGTGTCCATACAGGTGCTTTGGGTTCTCGCCACACGCCATCTTAAGATATCGTTGACGACTCAACTCCGGAATCCCATGCTCGAGTAGCAATTCTTCGACAACGGGTTCGCCATTTTCACCAGGAAGCGGTAGATTCTTTACCAAGTACCCTTGGCCACCAATAATGTTGCCAGACCCAGGCAAATTTAGAGAAGATGTGACACCGCCGGACGCAATGATCTTAATCGCAGGATCATATGGTTTGAAGCCGTCAATCGCACGGACGAAAGGAGTGATGGGACCAAGTCCAGGCTTCTCGTTGACGTCTGCGATCGCTGAGACCGAAGAGAAAGGGAGTTCCAAATGGTGAGAATGGATGTCAACAAGACCAGGGGTAACAAATCTCCCTTTGACATCATACAAATCCGTATTGCTGGGAAAAGTCACCTCATCCCGAGTCTCGAATACTGACTTGATAACTCCCTGTTCGAACGTAATATCGACAGTCGCCGCAAGGACCTTCTCTCCGTCGAACAGAGTTGCATTACGGAGCACAATGGCGCGCTGCTGTCCAGACTTTGAGTTCCAGCGCGGATTTGACCGATTTGGCGAGGACGACTCTCGACTCGCGCTTCGCAAACTACTCTCGCCACACTTGGTCAATCCTCTTACGAATTGCTCTGATTGGTTGTATGAGGGCTCCCGAACAGCATTGCTGTAGTGAGACAGGAATAGTAAAAAAACGACAAGTCCCGCGAGGGTCATTAGACGTCCTCGGCGTCTCCGAATGAAGAAGCGTCGAGTTGGTGGTTGCGGTTGATACGGAGGGGGGCTTGCGTCGAAAAGCTCATCGTGTTTAGCGCCCATCGTGATTTGCCTTCTGGTTCAATGATATGACGGGCCTTCCTACTCAAGAAAGACAGTTAGATAAAAGCTGATCTGATTTTGATCAGAATTCGCATTACGTGCACTCAAATTCGCTACAGCAGCCGCTTCTCCTCGAGCAGCTCGACTTGTTATCGGGTGAGTTTGTCCCGACGTCGGGGTGGGTTGGGGATAAGGCTTGACAGCTCTTTATTCCCAGAGGCGTCAACGTGGAGATAAAGCACGTCAGGCGGAGGCGGCCCACTTGGGAACTCGACTGCATGTTACGAGTAATCCTATCTTGGTCATGGAGATTGAGATTACCACTCTTTTCATGGTACATTCAAAGTATGTTGATTGGAGACACTGGCGCTCTGGAGGTAGGGCGTTGTTGCAAACTAGGTTTCCCTTTAAATTCAGGAAGTAATTTATTGCTGATAGATTCAGCCAGTCATCATGAGATTTCCAACCGACCAAATCACTAGATGTTACCTTGTAGAGCTTAAGACCAGGATCAATATCTACGTTGTCGTTTCCACAACACTCAAAGCCCTATTTTCGATTGTTTCTAGAGCTGCGGCCGTTACCCGACCACAATCATGTAGTCGGGTCTACCCCGACAATTACACCGGCTTCAAGTCCCGAACAGACCATTCCAGAGCCCGAAAAAAGGTTGGACATCTGCAAACTGCCAAGACGCCTTGCCGAGTAGGTCTCGTACGCCGAAGCCGTCATTCTGGTCTTTAATGGCGCCACAAGGTACCCGCCCACTTCCCGCCGACCATTTCCCTGCAAAATCCCGGCGATTTGGTGTTCAACGCGTCGAACGGGGACTTCCAGCGGGAGGTCAATACGGATTAAGCATACTGGTACGTAACTGACCTGCTTTTACCGGAGCCGATTGTAAAAGCCGTTCAGATGTCAGCGCGTTTAGAGGAACGACGGAAACCGAGACCGGGCATCGTCTTAGGATCATAAGCATTTTAGGATATGGCGCAAGAGTCAGGAGTGTAATGGCATACTTCATTGGGTGTGGACCTCGGTAATGTGACGCCTTTGGGTCAGTTCGTCCGAGATATCTTTGTTGTTGTACGCAAGCTGTGAGGAAAAGTTACTTTAGTTGAACGCATGTCCGGCGAATCCTTTGCGGAGTTAGGACACGGACGACCTGGGACCACACCACTGTCGAGGTTCCGAATGAACAGCTTATTGCGCCAAGCAGACCAACGCGGGATCTAGATGTGTCCTACCAACATCCACTGTTAGCTCAGAATACATCCAGGCAACGCAAAGACCCTAGACATTGACGCCACTGACAGTCGGCCCGGCTAAGGTCGAGGGTTTGCCCTGGATCAGGACGTCGATAAAGATAAGGTGGCTTCGGCCTCTGTCTGTATCTATCCCACCGGCTGTCTTCCTGGGGTGATGCATCCTGTTCTCAACCCCAAGTCTTTTGTACATATTGATAGTTGAACTTGTCGCCTAGTTAGTCACGGATCAATATGGGTACACTCAATGAGAAAACGGTAGACACCATCGACGTTGTCACACCCGCAGATGCAAACCTTCAGGTTTGACCTACTCTGATCGAATGCACAGATGAGTCAATCTGAAACTTACACAGAGAGAGAGTTTCGATGAAAAGGTTTCCATCGACGATGTAGCGAGGTATATACTTGATTTCCACACCGAGATTTACACCAGACCATATCAAATGGCCGAGAAAGCTGACACTTCGCAGGCAACTCAATGCCACCCCCGAAGAAGTCCTCGAAGCCAGAGAACTTTCACGCTCCCTATCTCTCGAGGAGACCAGATCGGTATGCAGTCTTCGGCCCCCACCGTTGTAGGCAGGAAGCTTCAGCCTCTAACCCATCTCAAAGTCGGCCGAGAGACTAGTGCAACAGCATGGTCTCGATCCCAACTTCCCGGCAGGAGCCCTCGAGCGTCTCAAGGAGTTTCTTGCCAACGAAGACATCCTTGTCAACCCGGATTCGCACAGTCGTGAAATCTCAGAGGCCAAGATCGAAGTTTCTCTGTTGACTTCCAATAGCCCGTACGCCGAGGTTCGCGCTGTAGTCGACCCGCATGACGATGCTAGCATGCCAGTCGCCACGATCCGTGCCTGGACTATCGGTCTCTTTTTCGTCGTCTTCATCGCTTTCATTAACCAGCTCTTCAGTGTGCGTCAGCCTTCCATCACCTTGCGCGCGGAAGTCGTACAACTCCTCGCGTATCCAGTAGGCAAAGCTGCCGAAAAATGGCTTCCCGATGTTGGCTTCACGCTCTTTGGAGTTCGGCATAGTCTCAATCCTGGACCGTTCAACAAGAAAGAGCACATGCTCATTTCGATCATGGCAAGTGTTGGAAAGACTCTGCCGAGTTCCAGATACATCAGTGAGTGATCCTCTACAGACTACTCGACATGTAATTCGGCCGTCCATTGCTAATAAAACGCTAGTCTTTACGCAGTGGATGGACCGTTACTTTGGCCAGAAATATGCCAAGTCCTTCAGTTACCAGATTCTTCTGGCTCTTTCCACAAATCTGATGGGATTCGGACTAGCCGGTCTGTGTAGAAGGTTCTTGGTCTACCCATCTTTCTGCCTCTGGCCGGCATCTCTAGTCACCATCGCTCTCAACAGCTCCTTACACAACGGTATGATATTAGTAATATGCTAAACATATGACGAAGTTGGATGCTAATGGTTCCCACAGAGGCAAATCATCCAGTACCCGGTCCTTTTAAGAAGATCTACAACATGTCGCGATACCGATTCTTCATGGTTGCTTTTGCCGCGATGTTTGTGTGGTTCTGGTTCCCCGATTACATCTTCGGTGCACTGTCCCTTTTCAACTGGATCGCCTGGATTGCTCCCAATAACTTTACACTCACTGCCATTACCGGTGTTAACAAGGGTCTCGGCTTCAATCCCATCCCAACTTTTGACTGGAATGTTGCGACACACGTCGTTCAGCCTCTTGTGGTCCCTTTCCGTGTTACCTTCAACACCTTCATCGGCGTGTTTCTGGGCGGTATTACAATCATCGGACTCTACTGGACCAATGCGTACAACACTGCTTACCTCCCTATCAACTCGAATCTGATGTATAATCACTTCGGTGGCTCATACAACGTTTCGAAGATCTTGGATGGCAGAGGGTGGCTCGACGAGACCAAGTACCAGGCGTACTCCCCCGTGTACCTCGCAGCTAGTAGTATCACGATGTACTACTACTTCTTCGCTGTCTATGCGGCTACCGTGTCCTATGCTATTCTCTATCATCGTCACGATATTGCACTTGGTTTCCGGAGTTTGTGGCGCAGCTTCAAGAAAGAGGCTTCGACTGATTTCAAGGATGTTCATACAAGGCTGATGTCCAACTACCCTGAAGGTATGTCTGAAGCTAACTTGGAAAATTAATTAGCACTAAAATCCCTCTCAGTTCCTGAATGGTGGTACCTGATTCTCAATCTGGCCGCCATTGCTTTCGGTGTTGCGGCAGTTGCTGCATGGCCGACCGAGGTAAGTCGAACGACCCATACTGCTACTGCCGTTGCTGCTTAGCGACTAACATTCTACCAGACGAGCGTTGGTGTTGTGTTCTTCGGCATTGCGCTTGCCCTGGTCTTTGTTATTCCAACAGGTATTATTTTCGCTACGACTGGCATGGAAGTGGAATTCAAGTAAGCAAACCTGGCTTGTCCATGTTTTTTAGTTGTTCATATAAGACTAACATGACATAGCGTCCTTGCGGAATTCGTTGGAGGTGCTTGGGAGCCGGGCAATGCCTTGGCCATGAACTTCTTCAAGTGCTTCGGGTAAGTGAATAATCTGCTGTTGTGTTCCACCTGAGGTACCTTAGTATTCAACAACTTACGATACTCGCAGTTATGTCACTACGGCTCATGCTCTTGACTTTGCCAATGACTTGAAGCTAGCTCACTACCTCAAGATCCCACAGAGACACACCTTCGCCGCTCAAGTCGTTGCTGTCTTTGTCTCAGCATTTGTCTGTACTGGCGTTATGAACTTTCAGATCAGCAACATTCCAGATCTTTGCTCAACGTCAGTATACTGCGAAACATCATATTTGTCATGGTCGGACGACTAACGTGAAAATCCTACAGAAACCAAAAAGACCGTTTCACTTGCCCTGGCGTAAACACCTACTTTACTGCTGCGGTGCTGTTCGGTAGTCTAGGTGCCCGAAAGGTCTTTGGATCAGGCGGCATCTATACAGCCCTACTCTCAGCGTTCCCGGTCGGCTTTGCACTTCCTTTTGTTTTCTACTACTTCCAGCGCAGATTTCCTCGTACCCACTGGTTCGCCAAGATTCACCCAGTGATGATCCTCAGCGGTGGCATCAGCTGGTCTCCTGTAAGCTTTCCCAATGGTTGGTTTACGATCGCTTTTGTGGCTAACATCAAGTCAAGTACAACATCGCTTACATGTGGCCGGCCGTTCTGCCTGGGTGGCTGAGCATGGTGTACCTCCGCCAGCGTTATCTTGCGTTCTGGTCAAAGTACAACTACGTCTTGTCGGCGGCTTTCTCGACTGCCATCGCCATCGCTGGTGTGATTATCTTCTTTGCCGTCAGTTATCATGGATTTGAGATTACTTGGTGGGGCAACGACTCGGAGAGTGGATGCGAGTCTACGGCCTGCACGCTGCTGAAGCTGCCTAAAGGCGAATATTTTGGACCGCGCGTTGGAACTTACGCTGGTTAACGAGATGAAGTTTGGAAACCATTGATCGAGGAAATGCAAGCCGTCCAGCGAGGCCGGGTTGTTTCTACGGGCTCATACATACTGTGTAGCAAATCTTGGGTGCCACGGCATTCTAGCGAAATACAAGTGGCTCTTCTCACAGCCTGAAGAGGGTCAGATCACTGGTCGTTGACCCGGCCTCACATCGCCAAGGGAGATACTTGAAATATAACATACTGTATCCTTCATCGATGGGCGACCTGCGATATACAGAGCCCATGCGGCTTGCAGGCGGTGAGGCGTCGCGCTTCAACCACAATCAGGCCATGACTCGGTCAGCTCACCGAAAGCTTAGCCCTCTGGCGAGATTACACTTTGACCCTGGCCATCAACCAGAACGGGGACGATGAAACTCTATCGGCGACCGCCAATCAGCACAGTTAAATGGTAACCGAGTACTGGTTTCTAGGAAAGTTAGTTTAAGCCATCGCATACCTCCTTTGACGTCAGCCCCTCTTCTCCTCGATTCACAACACCTCTAGGTCGAGTCGAGTTGAAAGGGCCCGGCCAAAGTGTCGCTCAGCTCCACCCTCCCCTTCTGCCGGCAGAAATATAGCAGCAGCTCGCATTCGATATCTCGCGTCGCGCGCCCTTGCCGCGCCTCCGAAAGCCCCACTATTCGAGCCCGGCGTGTCCGGCGGACTGTAAGGTCTCGTTAGAGTTCGTTGCCATGAGCTGTGGCCGTTCTCCACCCGGTACCTCCGGATCCAAGTCACGGCCATCCGTCCAAGCTAAGAAGAGTTGCACACCTTGCAGGTAAGTCCGAATATTCCGTCGCGGTACAACATAGGACGATGTCAGAAGGACTCGGACTGACCTGGTCTCTAGAATCCATAGAGTCAAGTGTGATGAGACAAGACCAGCTTGTCGACGGTGTAGCATCACAGGCAAGGTCTGCGATGGCTACGGCGGTGAGGCTGGCGGTCCAGCGGCCCGCAGACCCTCACTGCCACTTCTCCAGACCTCATCAGCATCTCCATCGCGTTGCGACACACATGCGGGCTCGGCGGAGCTGAGCTGTACTGATAAACTTCACTTCGAGTGGTTCGTGAGCCGGACCACGAACCAACTGCCTGGCGTCTTCAACTCGCCGTTCTGGAAGACCTTAGTGCTTCAAGCTAGCTCGACTGAGCCTGCTATCCTCTATGCTATCCTCGCCCTGGGTGCGGCCCACGAGACATCAAATATCGACGCATGCATCGTCAAACGGGAGCCGTCAAGTCCCGAGACAGCGGATCAACAGGAACACCTCAGCCTGCAGTATTACAACAAGTCCATTTATCACCTTCAGAAGCATTTACGCACGCCAAGCACAGAATCAATACGCGTCGTTCTAGTTGTCTGCACGGTCTACATATGCATGGAGTTCATGCAAAAGCGATACAAGACGGGATTCCTTCACTTCAGGCACAGTCTCCAGCTTCTGGGAAGCTTGTTGAGATCTTCTGCTCCGACATCATCATGCGACCCAGCAGATGACTGGTTCGTTGATGTCATACCTCGACTAGATATCCAAGCGACTCTTCTTACGAACGAGTTTTACCAAGGTGCCGGCACTAAACACACCTCATCGATATGGCCGCCAATGCCCCGGCTGTTTCAATCAGTTCGGGACGCTAGCCAAAGCCTCGACGGCCTCTTGTTCAGAGCGTACCAATTACAGAAAGACGGTGCCGCGGCCGGGCCAGCAGAAGATGCAGCTGACATCTTTGAGCTGCTCGCTACACAGCAGACCCTTCGGAACGAGCTAGAATCGTGGATACAAGCCTTTGAGATCTTCAAAGCCAGGACGTGGAACTTCGTAACAGATCGAGAGAGGCTCGCCTACGGACCGCTGCCGATTTATCACACTATGGCATACATCATCACCAATACTTCTCTCAATCCTGGAAATGAGCTTATCTTTGACCTATACACGAGTCACTTTGCGTCGGCTGTAGCTTCGGCGAGGCAGCTTATTGAGGCGACATCATCTGCAACCATGCTGACACCTGCTGCTGAATCGTCCCCAGAGGATTATACGCATCAAACTGAGCACGCCTCAGACACGGGTTTGGTTCCGCCATTATTCTTCACAGCTGTCAAGTGTCGCGTGCCCAGGATCAGACGTCAGGCATTGGAACTTCTTCTAGCATCTCAACGGCAGGAAGGAATCTGGGATGCGATATTATCCGCGCGGATAGCGAAAGAAGTGATGGTTCTTGAAGAGCGGGGTCTCTACGAAGGTGATGTTGACGAGAAGAGGGCTTCCCCAGATTTTGTGATCCCGGTTCTGCCGGGGCCGCCCAGGATACACAAACTCTGGATCGAGGTGCCGGAGGAGCCACGCGGAGATATCCTTCTCAGCATCCAGAGGATCTTTCCAGAGGGCAAACGGGAGACCCTGGGAAGGCGGTTTCACGCGGAGCATGACTATTGGACTTCTGTTCCCGTAACACTACGCGTCGCTAAGGTCACTGAGCAGGCCAAGTAGGGAAGGCCGTGCTCCGAAGTGATCTGGGGGGAGGAGTCGCGAATACCCTTTGTACTATTATTTAACCCAATGCGATCAGTGCCTCTTCTGAGACGAGTACACATTCAGCGCATATCTGCGAAAGCTTTTGGTCTGTCGTCTCCAACTCCTGCCTGGCCCATGCCTTGGTGGGATGCCATCTCGTATCTGACATTCATGCTGCTGGTGGATATTTCATACAAGCCATGCCCCTCAACTGGCAGTTCTGACTGCCATCCAGCATAGTGATACGGTTGTTGCTGGCTCCCATCAAGGCTGTGCTTCTTCTCAGCTTGTGCGATCGGGGTTTTTCTCGCTTGTCGTCGACGCCACAAAAGCCACCCGATAGTGCCCATGCCCAACACTGCAGCAAAAGTAATTCCAACCGCAATGCCTGCTGCAGCTCCCGACGATAGGCCTTGATCTTTCGTCGTCGGCAGTGGTGTTGCTGCAGAGGTATTGCTTGGTTGGGGTATTACTTGGGCTTCGGTGATGTTGAAATAGTGGCAGGTGACGCCCCAGTTTGCCGGTTCTTTGCCTGGCCCGAGTAATTCGAAGAAGTAGAGGTTGCTGAGTTTCGGATTAGGGAAGTCCTTTATGGAGACTTCCCAGTTAATTGACTTTGCGGAGGTGCTCGCTACAGCCGGGCAATCGATGTCAGCCATGGGAGTTCTCCCTAAGTTGCAGGCCTTCCGTCGCTTCGCCTATTTGAACTCAGGCTTCATAAGATCGTGCAACTCACCTACGACATCGATGTAGTCTAAAGTGCTTCCGCCTCCTACCGATTCTTGCCATAATATCAACCTGGCAGAGTCGTATTCCATGTCCCAGTGGAGATCTATAATGTCTCCTATTGTGTAAGCGTTGTTGTCTCGGTAGTCATAGGCGAGACCTGGACCAGGTGGCCGGCGAAAACGGTTTTCTGCGGCGACAAATGCTGCGAAGAGCAAACAGAGACAAACCCACAGGCTCGGTAGAGCCATGGCAACAAGTTGAAAGGTTCTTGATGGAAACGACTGATATGATGCGTGACGCTATGGACGATTCACTGGGACAAGGGGACTCGGATTTTAGCTAACTTCAGCTTGAACGACGGAAGGATGAGACATCCGGGACCTCGCAGCATTTAACAAAACCATTCTGCAAGGCAGAATCGCGGAGGATGCTTGACCCTGCTACGCAAAATAAGCGCTAACGATGTGCGACTAGGCGGTTACAATAAAATCCCACAGCCCCAAGTACCACCCTGTACGAAGGATCTGCCCTCAAGGATCAACAATGGCAAGACCTATCGCGCGCTGCAGCCGAGATGCGAGGCAGCAGTGTGCGGTCTCCCGAATTAGATGGTTTTCAGCCGCTCAATTGACTTTCTTCGATTGGACGGCAACCTAGGAGGGGTACTTGAATTATCAAAGTTCCATAGTCCTTTCGGAAGCTTGACCGATTCCCACGAGTTCCACACTAGATAGCAGTCACTTTGCCATGCGAAGATGCAACGGTAAGCTCGGGATCTCCACATTAACAGGTTAAGATTCTAACCAAGCTTAATTAGACCATCTTTCCCGTAACCTAGTGTCCTTAGGGAATTGGGTGCTTGCGGTGCCTTGCCTAACGCCAGTTGTGAACTTTTGGTGATAGTGAGTTAGGCTGCCCGATTCGCTGAATCTCGCTAAAACCGCGCCTCTCTTGGCCCTGACCGAGCCTCGGCCAGATCGGTCGGAAACTTGAGAAAATTAACTCGAAATGTTTCTGCCTGGTCGTTGTGCTATCTATCTTATTGTACCCGGCTGGCTGCACTATCTGTTCTCATGCTTTCATGCCGACAACGCGCCGGAAGAGCAATAGCAAAAATCTTAAATATTTCACCTGTGCAGTAGTTTACCTAACCTTTCGGAGTATTTGGATTTACATATCCAGCAACCTGAATCAACATTAGTGTTACACAGGGTTACCAAACTTATCCGTCTTCTTTGCCTTGGAGGTGAAGCACTCATCATCTGGCCCACAGCCCTGCCAGTTGAAAGATTCCCCAGGCGAGAAGCATGCGCTGTCGCAATTCTGCTTCTTGCAAAGCCCATGCGCCTCATCACCGCCGACCCACCCATCATCTTTGGCACCGTTGACTGTTCCTTCTATCGCATGCCACTGTTTCTCATCAGCAACCTAATCAACCTGATACAAACCCATTGGAGGGGAAGAATGGTGCCGACGTACGTAAGGGCCGCTGTACGGCGCGCCGTGTAGCTCATCAGAAAACCAATTGCCTCCAGCTATAAGATCTTGTTAGCGACGATGAAGTTTCATAGCGTGAATGCCAATTCTCTCACCATAAACGAACCGTCCGTCGTACGCGTTGACAACTGCTTTTGTTGCATCATCGTTGATTTGAACACCAACAAGACCCTGGTCGCTGATACAGGCGCAAAGGCGGTGCTTATCAGCGCTGACACGCGCCACCCTGGGATCAATT